TTTATTTTCTTTATTTTTCTTTCACTTTATTAAGAATTGATTCTAAACAAATACAAATACACTCTTCATTCATTTTTATCATACCATATTTGAATAGATAGAATTGATAGAATGAATTATTAATATAATTCGTTATCTATTTCTATCAGATTTATTCAAATTATTTTCAACATCATTGAAAGGGATATAATCAACGTTTGCCAATTGCATCAAAGTATTTTCATTATTTGAGTATTATTGAATATCAATGATAAACAATATCAACTAAAAAACAAATGATATGAACAAATTTTTATTAAAACAATTCATTAACAAAACATAAATCAAACGATTTATTACTCAATTAAAAAACGAAGAAAAGAGCAATGGCAATGAATGCAACAATGGTAGCAATTGATCCATCATCATTAGGTTTATTCTGACATTCATCTTCACATTCATATTTAACGTATTTATCACCATTTGGTTGTTGTGGAACACACATTCCGCATTTATACATTTGAGCTCCAAATCCAAGTTCTTCAGTACAATTTTCATCTTTATAATAAAATACTCCAAAATATCCAACTTTATTTTCTGATTTCATATAAAATTCAGTATTACTTACTTTATTACAATTCTTAGTTGAGACATTACAACTATATGTAACCATATTAGTAGTTGGTTTAGTACATTTATCATCTGAATATACTTGATTATTAATTAAACTACATTCATCACTCATTTTATCTGGTTCTTCATTATACAAATAAATAGTTCCAGTAGTACTTGAACTAATGTCTGCTTTTGCAGTAATATCCATAAGTTGTTCAGTTGGTTGTTCACCAGAACAATCAGTGGTAGTAGTATAAGAAGTGATCTTGATTTTTGCTGGTTCACTGTCTGTAGCTGGGACATGAGTTAATTTTTTGGAGCCTGTGTTATCAAAATAACATGTTCCATCTTCATAAACAGTAACCAATTTTAAAGTTTACTATCAATGTAAGTACATTCATAAATATTTTCAGCAGCAGCAAAAGCAGTAAGTGCTAATAATGCAATGAACATTTTTAATGTTTATATTTT